GTGGTAGGGTGGGATGGGGGGAAAGGGAGTGGGAGGGATACTGGGACTGGTGGTGGTGGAGAATGGGCACTGGTGGAGGGATGGGTATTCGATCATTGTATAACTGAAACCCAAGCACGAAAGTTTGTAAGTCTACAACTGTACCTCATGGTGTTTCACTAATAAAAATTTAAGGAAAAAAAGAATGAGAGTGGATCTAGAAAGTAAGAAGATTTGTTAAAAAAATACCTACCCCAGAAATGGGTGCTGGCACACTCAGGGGAATCTTGCTTGCTGAGTTTTGGAGTAAGAATTTAATAGGGTGATTTAGCTAAGGGGCAAAATAAGGTGTTGTGTTAGTCTTAAGGGTGCTGTGGTGGCAACAAATACTGAGATTGCATTAACATCTCATTATACAGCTAGGGAAGCACATGAGGTAAGATGTATTTCAACCTTAATGAAGCAAAAGAGTTAAGCATCTTTCCATTGAGCATGTATTGATAACCACATTAGAAACAGTTCTCCTGATTTCACTGATCAGAAGCTGGTAACTAGCGAGAATCACAAGAATGTCAGCTATAACCATCTTCTGAGTAATTTTATTATTATTATTATTATCATCATCATCATCATCATCACCACCACCATCATCATTGTGAGATACAGTTACAAAGCTTTCCTCTTTGAGTTTCAGTCATACAATGATCGCTCATACAACCCTCCACCAGTGTACATCTTCCACCACCAAGGTCCCCAGCACCCATCCCTATTCCAGCCCTCCCCCCGCCACTATGGCAGACAATCACCCCATACTCTTTTTTTGTATTGCTTGTTATGAATAGCATAAGATAGATCCTGGAATTCTAAATTTTTAGATAATTAGGGTCTGGAGAAATCTCTGCAGTGAGCTGCTCGGTTCAGAGATTCTTTGTGTGTCTCTGGATCATGGCCGTTAAGGAGCTTAAGTAGCAGCCAGAGCAGTTTGTGGGCATGACCTCCAGGGTTCCATGGGAATGGTGGGGGGTAGGGGGAAAGAGAAGGACCAGCCCATCTCTTATGCCTTGTGATCTGGAGTTTGCCGTCACTGAACCTGCATACCTGCACTTCTCATTGGGTTCTGGAAGGTGGTGGCCGCCAGGGTTTTTAGGGGTCAGGTGGAGGGACAATGCCTGCCACTGTCTGAGGCACCTCTGTGAAATCATCCTGGCTTAAAGTCCAGAGGCACTGCATCTCTGTAGCGAGCTCCTCAGTTTGGAGATTCTTTTGTATGTCTCTGGATCATGGCCCTTGTTTTCATCTTTTCCAGAGATATAAACTATTGGCATATGTCCTGCAGGGTGCATCCGCTTGCCTTCATCACACTGCATTGCTGGCCCTAACTGCGGCTTTTGATCTTTTTCAAGATTTATGGGTCTCTGAAATAAGGTTAATAAATGAGCTTGTATAGCTGAGCCAGAGGTGGTTTGTAGGTGTGGCTCCCCCATACCTAGTTTTTTTTTATTATAAAATTTTTTAATAGTGAGAGATCATGAGGTACAGTTGCAGACTTACACATTTTTGTGCTTGGGTTTCACTTATACAATGATCAAACACCCATCCCTCCACCAGTGCCCATTTCCCACCACCACCACCACAGATCCTAGTATCCCTCCCACCCCCCGTCTCCCCTATCCCACCCTGTCTCTGTGGCAGGGCATTCCCCTCTGTTCTCTATCTCCTCTTGGGTGTTGTGGTTTGCAAAAGAAACATTGAGTGGCAATCATGTTTGGTTTATAGTCTATTTTCAGCATGCTTCTCCCATCCTGGGAGTATCCTCCCAACACCTTTATTTGGTGTTCCCCTCTTTATCTGAGCTCCCTTTTCCCCTCGTATGTGTGGTTGGCCTCCAAGTCAAGGAGTAAAATTCCTGGTACTAATCTCGGCCATTCTTGGGTGTTAGTTTCCTATTCTGTTACTTTATGTTCCCCAGATGAATGCAATCTTTCTATGTCTATCCCTTTCCTTCTGTGTCATTTTGCTTAACATAATACTTTCCATGTAGTACCACTTGTATGTAAATTTCATGACTTCATCTTTTCTAACAGCTACATAGTACTCCATTGTGTAAATGTACCAAAGTTTCTTTAACCAGTCATCTGTTCTTGGGCACTCAGGTTTTTTTCCAGATTCTGGTTATTGTAAAGAGTGCTGCAATGAACAGACAATTGCAGATGTCACTTCGACTATACTTTTTTGCCTCTCTGGGATATATTCCCAGGAGTGGTATTACTGGGTCAAATGGGAGCTCAATTTCTAATTTTTTGAGAGTCGTCCATACTGTTTTCCAAAAGGGCTGAACCAGTCGGCATTCCCACCAACAGTGAAGGAGTGTCCCTTTCTCACCACATCCGCGCCAGCACTGGTTGCTTTTGTTCTTGTGGATATGGGCCAGTCTCTGTGGTGTGAAGTGATATCTCATTGTGGTTTTGATCTGCATCTCCCTGATGATTAATGATGTCGAACATTTTCTCATGTGCCTTTTAGCCATTCAGATTTCTTCTTTGTGAAAGTTTCTATTCATTTCATCTCCCCATTTTTTGTTGGGGTTGAATGTTTTATTTTTGTGGAGTTCAACCAGTACTTTGTATATTCTTGAAATTAACCCCTTATCAGATGTATAGTTGCCGAATATCCTTTCCCATTCTGTAGACTGTCTTTGTATTTTGGCCACTGTTTCTTTTGAGGTGCAGAAGCTTCTTAGTTTAAGATAGTCCCATTTGTCTATCTCTGTTTTCACTTGTTTGGCCAGCGGTGTGACATCTTTGAAGACACCATGAGCTTCTATGTCATGAAGGGTTTTGCCAACTTTTCCCTCAATGTACCTTATAGATTCCTGTCTGATGTTGAGGTCTTTAACCCACTTAGATCTTACTTTTGTACATGGAGTTAGGCAGAGATCTGAGCCCATTTTTTTGATGTAGCCGTCCAGTTTTGCCAGCATAATTTGTTAAAGAGGCTTTCCCTGCTCATTTCACTTTTCTTGCCCCCTTATTGAAGATTAGATGCTCGTATGCTTGGGGGTAGATTTCAGTATATTCAACCCTGTTCCATTGGTCTATAGCTCTTCCTTTGTTCCAGTACCATGCTGTTTTAATTATTACTGCCTTGTAGTAGAGTTTGAAGTTAGGGAGGTTGATGCCTCCCATTTTCTTTTTCCCAAGAATTGCTTTAGCTATTCGTGGGGGCTTATTGTTCCATATAAATTTTAGGAGTGTTTGCTCCACTTCTTTGAAGAATGTCATGGGTATCCTAATAGGGATTGCGTTGAATTTATACAGTGCTTTGGGAAGTATTGCCATTTTGACAATGTTAGTTCTCCTGATCCATGAACAGGGGATATTTTTCCATTTCCTCGAATCCTCTTTTATTTCCTTAAGTAGCGTTTTGTAGTTTTCTTTGTACAGGTCCTTTACTTCCTTATTTAAGGTGATTCCTAGGTACTTGATTTTCTGGGGCACAATTGTGAATGGGATTGTTTTCTTGATGTCACTTTCTTCTCTTTCACTATTTGCTTATAGGAAAGCCATGGACTTTTGGGTATTGATTTTATAGCCTGCAACTTTATACAAGCCTATTGTTTCTAGAAGTTTCTTGGTAGAGGTTTTAGGATTTTCTAAGTATAGTATCATATTATCTGCGAATAGTGAGAGCTTGATTTCTTCCTTTCCTACCTGGATGCCCCTAATATCTTTTTCTTGCCTAATCGATACTGCAAGTACTTCCAGTACTATATTGAACAGCAGTGGAGAGAGTGGACATCCTTGTCTTGTCCCTGATCTTAGAGGGAAGGCTCTCAGTTTTTCGCCATTGAGGACGATGCTTGCTGTAGGCTTGTGGTAGATGGCTTTAACTGTATTGAGAAATGTCCCCTCTATCCTCATTTTGGCTAGGGTTTTCATCATAAATGGGTGCTGGATCTTGTCAAATGCTTTCTCTGCATCTATTGATATGATCATATGATTTTTATCTTTTCTTTTCTTGATATGACATACCTAACTTTTAGTTGTTTAATTTCCTGGTAAACTTGGCCCCAAGTTGTTAGGGTTCAGCCAAAGGCACAGTGGCAATTTGGGGGTATCAGGAAGTCTGAAGGTACCATCAGGCTGCTGATGAACTGGCCCCACAGGTACAGGTTGACCCCCACTTCTGAGTAATTTTTACCACTGCCTTCCTACCTTGAGGCTTTATTTCCTGACCCAGCAGAAAGGAGTTACATTGCTAGCAATCCAAACCAGAAAAAATGCTTAGATATTGGAGATATCTATCTATCTATCTATCTATCTATCTATCTATCTATCTATCTATATCTGGGAGCAAGCTCCTTCATAGACAGGAGGATTAAGAAAGTTGCTTAGGTGAATCTGTGGCTAGATGAAAGTATGATCAAGCCCAGCACACATAACCTAGCACGTGAAACTGCCTTCCCCTAGGTCTACTGCTAAGTTTCTACTGCTAAGAATCTGCGATCTTCAGATTCTTAAGCAACAAAAGCATACCCCATAGCTCAGGTCCTGCTGTGAAAGATCTGGCAAAGCTTGGAAGATTGAGACCTCTCCCCCACTTTATTGGAAATCCTGCAGTTCCTTTTCCAGAGTAATTCTGTCAATACCAAAAGTAGCAGACTTCCAGGCTGAACCTAGAAGAAAAGTCTATTGAGTTCAAAGAATGGTTAGATCATGAGAGGGAATAGAAAGAAATTTCATACTTCTCACCCGAGACAGTAATTGAAGGGGGATAACCCTTACAGATGGACACTCACACCCCTCCTACTACCATCTCTATCCCATACACTGGGTCCTGTAAAACAAATGGCCATTCAGCCATGAGCTTCAGTGCTTCCTAGTGGGAAAATGAAGAAAATGCCAAAAAGGTTCAATCCAATGACAGAAGGGATGAAAAAGAAATAGCCTTAGAAATCAATTTTAACTTCTGTGGCGTGAGTGGCGTGTGGTCAGAGTTTGTGAGTTTCTCTTCGATTAAATATGGCTAAGAGCTTGTGGAGTAAGTGGAAAAGGAAAATGCGGGCTGAAAAAGAAAAAAAGAATGCCCCAAAGGAACTCAGCAGACTTAAATTTATTCTTAATGTAGACACCGATGTTATAACGAAAGATGTTCAAGGGAGAGCAACCGTGGTGGAACTCCAAAGTTGCCACAAGATTGAATGTGCAGTAAAAGATGAAAAAGATGGCATGAAAATGGAGACTAACATTAAGAGAAATAAGAAGAGTCTTCTAGACCAGCATGGACAGTATCCTATCTGGATGAACCAGAGGCCGAGGAAAAGACTGAAGGCAAAGTGAGAGAAAAAGAAAGGCAAAAGCAGAGCAAAACCAGCAAAAGCAGCTAAGGGTTTGGCCTGGTAGCCTCTTAAAGTATTGAAAAATATTATATAGACAGTTTTTTGATAAATGTGTACACTGATTTCAACCTCTACCAAATGAAAACTCTGGTTTTAACTTGACCTTTTTCTTCAGTTCACAATTTTCCACTTTTTAAAAACTTGAATAAAATATTTTCTTTGGTTATGAAATCTATATTGATATTGTAGATGCTGTCCAATATATAAGGATTATCAGTCATCAAAATTCTATCCTGTATTAGTGTGACTTTTTTAATTCTTAGTACAGATAAAACATATCATACCAACAGATTTGAGCTAACTAAAATTTTAAAACTTAGTTTTAAAATGGCTGGAGTGATAGCACAGCAGTAGGGGGTTTGCCTTGTGCGGGGCCGGCTCAGTCGAGTCCGGTTCAATTCCTCCACCCCTCTCGGACTAACGAGCTAACGAGAGTATCAATCTAACGAGAGTATCTCGCTTGCACAGCAAAGCCTGGCAAGCTACCCACGACGTATTCAATATGCCAAAACACACTAACAACAGCTCTCACAACGGAGACATTACTGGGCCCGCTCGAGCAAATCGATGAACAACGGGAGGACAGTGCTACAGTTTTAAAATATAAAAATATTTTTTTCTGGGTCAGAAAGTACAGTAAGTAGGGTGCTTGCCTTACTCTCAGCTGACCTGGGTTCAATCCCATGTGCCCCAGATAGTCCCCCAAACCTGCCAGGAGTGATCCTTGAGCATAGTGTGGCACAAAAAATTCTTGGCTCTTGGAGCTGAAGAGTACGAATTTTAAGTGTGTCTGTGACCTGCTTTGAATTCTAGCGTCACGTATGATGGTCCCCTTACTACCCAGCACTGTCAGGTATGTCTCCCTCCCCCACTCTGGATCTTGTAAGTAGTAATATTTTGGAGCTTTGATGTCCTCTAGTTCAAAATAAAAGATGTTTTATGTATGGTATTTGAAGAGATTTTCTTTAATAAACTTTTAAGGTTTCCAATAGCAGAAAATACCAAATTCTTTAATGTATGTTTTTATTGTAAATTTGTAGATATTACATTTACATGTACAAATCCATGTGCTTTATTCTGAAGGATTAATTTATGTTCACCATTTTGTTGTGTTTGCTAATATATTATGTTTGCTAATACATTTTCCAGAAATGTATCTCATTTATATCCCAAAGAATCATATGAATATATGTTCCTCAGATATAAATTTTCTAGACATCAGGTGGCAAAATAGCTTTATGAACATGTAATTTGGGGAAATACTATTTACTAAAATTCTCAAAAAAATATTATCTTAGTATGTTCTTAGAGAGTTCTGGAATAAAGAAACCCATTTAACTAACTTCAACTCTTTGAAACCAGAACAGAATGTCGCAAATTTCTATTAGAAATCCTACTATAATAAAATTTTTTTTGTTAAAAATAGAAATCAACCTTATTTTCACAGAATTCTAACAGTAAATTATACTAATATCAGTATTATGTAAACAATGAAATGCACACTGACACAGTAAAATATTATTGAAATCATAAAAAATGCAAGAATAGGAGACTTTTTCACTGGAAATATTAAAGCTAAAAATATGACAGACATCTAGTGAAATGGCACAACAGATAACACTGACATGAAAATCTCCCCCACCAATGTACAACCAGAATCCAATGACGTGTCTCTTTCTCACCACCTGCTTCGGTGGACTTGGGCCCCTCCGCCTCCCAGGGCGGCCCAAAAGGGCCAAGCCGGTTGGTGATCAGTTGTCCTTTATTCCATTCTCCCACGCCCCTGTTCCAGTCTCACTGAGCTCCCCATTCTAGTCTCACACTGCCCCTCATTCCCATTTCCTCCTGTCTCTCCCGCTCATTTCTCTGTGCTACCTCTCTCAGCCTTGCTCTCTCGTATCTCCACATGCCAGTTCCTGCATTCTTCCCCTACATTCTTCTCTCTCTGTCCTCCTTGCATGTATCTCATTTAATTGTTTTTTGGTTGATTGACATCTAGGTTCTGTTTTCGCTTTAAATAATACTTTAATATAACATAATGGGAGACTAATACCCAAGGATAGTAGAGATAGGGCCAGGAGGATCACTCCATGGCTTGGAAATCAGCCTCAAATGAGGGGGGAATAAGGCAGCTGAGATCGAGAAGGAACCACCAAGTAAATGATGCTTGGAGGGCTCGCTCAGGATGGGAGATACATGCTGACAGGAGACAATGGACCGAACATGATAACCACTTAGTACCTGTATTGCAAACCATAACACCCCAAAGGAGAGAAAGTCAAAGAGAATGTGCCTGCCACAGAGGTAGGGAGGGGTGAAGGGGGGAAAGGGGGCTTGCAGGATGGATAGTGGGAACATTGGTGATGGAGAATGGGCACTGGTGGAGGGATGGGTACTCAATTATTGTACAACTGGAACATAATCACGAAAGTTTGTAAGTCTGTAACTGTACCTCATGGTGATTCATTAAAAATAAAAGAAATCTTTAAAAAAAGAGAGAATAACAGTAATTGAAGGCTGTAATTGCAGCTCAGTGGTAGAGCACTTGTCTTGAATGTGTGAGGCCCTAGGTTCAATCCCTGTCTTTGGAAAAATCTCTTTTTCTCTCTTTTGGTTGGGGAGAGAGGCTGAAGATTGAGTTAACTCATCAATGACCTATGAGTTAATCAATAATGTTTATGTGATGAAGCTTCATATAAACCCAAATGGAGACTGGGGAGATAGCTCCAAGTATATGATTTGTTTCCTGGAGGCATGTTTAAGATCCCTGGTATCTCATGGTTCCCCAAGCACTACCAAGAGCCAACATGAAACCAGAGTAGGGAAGGAGTCAACTTTTAATGTGACCCCACCAAAATAGCCCACCAAAATGGGGCCAGCAAAGGGTTAATGGAACTGCTTTATATACAGGAGACTTCGGTTCACTCTCCTACCATGGTTCCTTGACTACCACTAGGAGTAGTCTCAGATGTGCCACAAAGGCCAAACACTCAGATACAATGTTCAGAGTGTTAATAAATGTAGATTTGGGAATGGTGTCCCCAGACAGGATGTGAAAGTGCCAAATGCTTCTCCTAGACCATGGACTATTCATCTCTTCTGTCTTGATGTTTATTTGTATTCTTTATTATATTTTGTGGGGGAGGGCACATGGCATTGCTCAGGGCTTACTACTGGCTCTGCACTCATGTATTATTCATGGAGTTGTTCAGGGGACCATATGGGATGCTAGGAATTGAACCTTGGTTGACCACTTACAAGACAAATGCCCTACCCACTATAAAATATCTCCAGTTCTCTTTATTGTATTTTAAATTTATTTTTATATTGTATTTTAATTAAAAATTAAATAAAACCTTTTAGGGCAAATGAGATGGTACACTAGGTAACACACTTGCCTTGCATACTGCTGACCCAAGTTTAATATCCAGCACTTGACAAGGTCCCTGCAACCTTCCAGGCGTAATCTCTGAGTGAACAGCCAGATGTAAACCCTGAGCACTTCTAGGTGTGGAGTAAAATTTTTTAATTATTTAAGAATAGAAATATTATATACCACAAATTAATGCTGTCATTCTGTATCTGTCCCTCTCTTTCTGACTTATTTAACTCAGCATGATACTCTCCACGTCCATTCATTTATAGGCAAATTTCATGACTTCATTTTCCCTGATAGCTGCGTAGTATTCCATTGTGTAGATGTGCCATAGTTTCTTTAACCATTCGTCTGTTCTTGGGCACTCAAGTTGTTTCCAGATTCTGGCTATTGTGAATAGTGCTGCAATGAACATAGGAGTGCAGATGGTGTTTCTGCTGTGTATTTTTGGGCACCCAGGGCATATTTACAGAAATGGTATTGCTGGGTCAAATGGAAACTCAATTTCTAGTTTTTTTGAGAAACGGAGCTAACCACAACTATGTGTGGGGCTGAGAGTAGGTAAGATAGAGAAGAGACCAGTATGACAATAATAGCTGGGAATGATCATGCTGGACAAGATCTCAGGCTTAAAAGTAGGTAAAGGGATATTCTTGATAACTTTTCAGTATCAATATTGCAAACAACAATGCCCAAAAGAAGAGAGAGGAGAGAGAGAAGAAAACTGCCTGCCATAGAGGCAGGTAGGGGGTGTAGCGGGGGGTGATGGGAGGGAACTTGGGGGACACTGGTGCTGGGAAATATACACTGGTGACGGGATGGGTGTTGGAATACTGTATGACTGAAATCCAATCATGAACAGTTTTGTAAGAGCCTACCTCATAGTGATCCAACTAAAGAGTTTAAAAAATAAAATTGAATAAAATAAAATTAAAAAACATTAGAAATATTAATGAAGTTGAATATAAAATAATTTCAGAAATTAGAGATAAAATTATAGGAATGTTTCAAATGGAAGAAGGAAGAAGAGAAACTGGATTCAAGAAAAATAAAGAAAGTTTAATGGAAGTGTTAGATTTCATTAGAAGTGTACACTGAGTTCTGGGACTACCATATCTTAAAGAGAGGGAATGGCAGGTAGAGTCAACATTTAAGCAATGATGAATGTGAACTTCCAATTCCCAAACTCCAGGAATCAGATATAACATCTAATATTCTTAATCCAAACTGATCTAAACCAACGTATATCACTATTAAATTATCAAAAGGAAATAATAAAAATATTGAAAGTTGAATTAATGTGACACGAGAAAGTACCTCTAACAGGTTTTCATCAGACATCTGAACAGAAACAGCTCAGGCTAGAAGACAATATGATGTCACATTTGTAACACTTAAAGATACTGTCATCCACGTAATAATTAGCTCCTTCTGCAAATTTGTAAAACAAATATGATGAAGAGGAAAGGGTCAGGGATACACTACAAATAGGAAGAATCACTGTTTATCTTTCTGCAATCACAGAAAATTTACCCCCCCCAAAGTCTATATTAGTCTATTAGTCTATATGGAAACCAGAATGAAGAAAACTCTCCAACCAAAGACAATAGTATGACAACTAGATGAGTTGAGTCAGAGAGACATCCTAGTCAGCAAAGATAACAGGCTACAGTCATAAAGAGATCTTTATGATGCAAAAATTTACTGTGGGAGACCAAAGCATGATGTTGAGGCAAAAATATGTCACCTCAATCCTCTGTTTCCATACCTAACATTCTGGAATAAGAGGTAACAAATTTCAAGGCATATGTAGTTTCTATCCCCAGCATCCCATATGGTCCCCTGAGCACTGCCAGGAGTGATCCCTGAATGGAGAGCCAGGAGAAAGCCTTGAGCCTTGGCAGGTGCGACCCCCACACCAAGTGAAACAAAACAAGCCAAAAATTGAGCTGGAGACCCCAATTGCCTGGGTCCCGGGGAATAGCACTTGGGCAAGGCTTACAAGGACCCCACGAGGCACAGGAAACAGTCCCTGGGGTGGGACATGGGACCCCCCCCCTTCAGATTGGAGTGCGGAGTTGCCGTTATAATTTTGGGTGAGCTCAGTTTCATCTTTTTATTTGTTTTGGTTTGTTGACCACACCCAGCAGAGCTCACAGGGATGACTCCTAGCGATGTGCTCAGGAATCACTCCTGGTGGGCTCTGGAGACTCAAGGGGGTGTCGGGGATCAAACTTGGGTCAGCTGCATGCAAGGCCAGCGCCCTCCCCGCTGTACTACCTTGCCAGTCTTTCTCTGGCCCTTTTTCTCTGAGGACCTAGCAGCCCTTTGAAGGAAATTCCCACAGTTGGCTGGGCTCCGGGGACCCTGCGGGGTGTCAGGGATTGAACCTGGGTCAGATGCATGCCCTCCTCTCTGTCCTATCTCTCTTCTGCCCCATCTTCTTTTTTTAAATTTTTATTTATTTATCCCGCCCACACAGCAGAGCATGTCAAGCTCCCCGTGGCATATTCAATATGCCAAAAACAGTAACAAGTCTGACATATTCGATATGCCAAAAACAGTAACAAGTCTCACAATGGAGACTTTACTGGTGCCTGCTCAAGCAAATCGATGAACAACGGGAGGACAGTGCTACAGTGCTACGTAGTTTCTATAGTCAATGCCATTTTTTTTGCTTTTTTGGGGGGTCACACCCGGCAATGCATAGGGGTAACTCCTAGCTCTGCACTCAGGAATTATTCCTGGTGGTGCTCGGGGGACCATATGGGATGCTGGCAATCGAACCCAGGTCGGCGGCGTGCAAAGCAAACGTCCTACTCTCTGTGCTATCACTCCGGCTCTCTATAGTCTATGTCTTATCCTTATGTTACACAAACCCTTACCCTTGATGATACCAATACCTACATAAGAAGTGTCCATATCCTTCATGACAAATTTCCAGATCTGTTGCTTGTTATAAATTAAACACTTTTAGAAAAGATATTAAATACATTATGAAGTATTAATTCATTTTGTATTTTTGTCGAGGTTCTGCGTGATAGTTTATCATTTAAAGATATAAACAATGCAATATGATTTGAGAAACATACTTCTTTTTTAAAATTTTTTATTAGTGAAACATCATGAGGTACAGTTGTACACTTATAAATTTTTGTGCTTGTGTTTCAGTTATACAATGATCTAGTACCCATCCCTCCACCCGTGCCCATTATCCACCACTACTAATACCAGTATCTCCCCCCACCCTCCCGTCCCCTCATCCCACCCTGCCTCTGTGGTAGGGCATTCCCTTTTGCACTCTCTCTCCTTTTGGGTGTTGTGGTTTGCAAAAAAAGGAAACATACATCTTGAAGTTCACTCCATCAATGTTTTTGTAAATGAGCATAATGTATTCCCTTATCATTACCTTTTTGATGGCAATATGACTCTATTTCTTGCCACCTTCTTTTCAGGAACAATTCTGCCTTGTTCAAAGGCGTAAAGTATTTAATCCTTGATAGGGGAGAGGCAATTCTCTCCAATTTTCTGCAGCATCTGAAAAAACAGACTTCTCACCTTGAAGGGTTCTTGTCCTTGATAATGACTTACAGTAATTAATTGTTTAATGGGAAGTGATATAACAACTCACTTCTTCATAATGTATGTTTTTTTCTTATGAGTTCCCATGATTAGTCCTCCAAGAGTAACCAAAATGAATTCCTAGATTTATTTCAGCCTATATTTGGGACCCTAACAGACAGATGATTGAAGATGTTGATGTTGAAAACTGAGTCATTTTAAAATGTCTTATGATGTCTGCCAAGATTATTTTAATAATTTCTTCTGACAAGTCACTTGTGCTTTTTTGTATATTTATATATGATATATAATACATATTTTATAAATATGTACCAGTTAATCTTGTGGAAAATTTCTAAATGTATCACTTATACTGTGAATTTCACAGAAACAATATTCTTAATTGTACTATTGTTTAATGCTCTAGTGGTTTTCAACTTTAATGAAGTTTTGATAGGCAAGTCAATGGAAGCCAAACAGGGATAGAATTAGTTGGAATACTTTGGGTGTTCTCACTGGGCACTGGGGCAATGAGTTTGTCCTTAGTTGCTACCTGTCTGAGGTGACATGAGCAGCATGGCCTAGAAAGTAAAAGCCCAGTGAAAGCTTATAAAGAAGGTTTATGAGGGGGACGGAGGAGAAGGGCATAGTATTGGCTGGCTTGCAAATAAAAAAGTTCCTCTAGGTTTATAAGGCCTTCCCGTTGATCGTCGATTTGCTCGAGCGGGCCCAGTAACGTCTCCATTGGAGACTTTGTTGTTACTGTGTTTGGCATATCGAATACTCTTGGTAGCTTGCCCAGTTCTCCGAGAGGGGCAGAGGAATCGGCCATGTTGGCCGCTTGTAAGGCGAATGCCCTACCGCTGTGCTATCGCATTGCTGTAATTAGCAAATCCTGGGAAAAATACTATTTCCAGTGTCAGTGGTTCCCAGGTGTGAAAAAAATCATAAAGAAAAGAAAATAAAAAGTCATGATTAATACACAAAGTAAAAACAACTTCAGCCTGCAGGTAGCTTACGTACCCCTGCTATGTAGTGCAATAGATGTATAATATAAACCGTACAAGAAAGTAAAAATCAAAGTAGAAGATAAAAGGAAAAGGTGATCTAAATTTTTAATTACTTCATTTAGCACAAAATTAAAGTTTGTATATAGACACATAATTTAAACATGAAATCATATTTTAATTTCATGTTTAAATTTAAATTATTGAAGTGCAGTGTATAATTTCAAAATGTAAGCAATATGAACAGATTATCAATTAATATTGCATGACTTATACTGATAAACCTTTCAAATATCCTGTGTTATTTAAAGAAAAAGAACATAAACAAAAATTATGAATGAAGTATTTTACATCTTTTCTAAGTCTGAAATGATGTGTGCAGTTACAAATTTTACATGTTAAGAACAAAATACTAAATTCAATACTAAGTATCAAATGATTTGAAATTTTTGTCTCAGGATTTGAATAACAGTTTTTATCATTTAAAGGTATAAACAATACAGTATGATTTCTTTCCCAAGTCTATGGAAAGCCTTGTTATTATTTCAAAATAAAAACAATATTAACATGTCCTTACTTTGACATTCTACTTTCTAAATCTTCAAAATGAAGCCAGCTTTCATTTCAACAAGGAAAATCTACGCAAGCAAATATTTAGTAAATCTTTGAAACAAAGCTCAATTTCAACATGTAAATGAGATACAAACAAGTTACATTTCTTTTACTGCCTTTGACATGAAGTATATAATTTCAATATGTCATCAATATAGGTAAGTCACCAATAGGTATATCTCATCCCCTGTGTCTTAATAAATTTTGGATAGACTATGTATTTAATACGTCCCATCACTTTTCAGAGTCGCCATATTTTTTTCGAAGTAAATAGATTTTATTTGGAAGGTTTTTGAAGGTGTGGAGTAGGAGAGAGAGAGAGAGAGAGTAAAGTGCTCAGGAGAGAACGCGGGCTTCTTCAAGGACAGAGAGAGCCTCTACACACATCCCAGCATTGGACATGAAAACATGAAAGTAGACATCTCAAGAGGGGCAATGCAAGTCGCCATATTTGAATAGCCTATGGCTAGTGTGTACCATATAGAACGGTGCAATTCAATCAGAAGAGCACAGGGAAAAGATCAAAAGTAATAATATGCAACATGAAGAAAACATGCATGGTATGATAAGAGAGAGAAGGAGCACAGCAAACCTATTTAAATAGGTAAGAAAAAAAAACAACTGAGGAACAACCATTTAAGCCTTGGGCTGAGGGCTGAGCAGTTATCCAAGAGCATAAGAGAGCCAACATAAGTGATCAGAATATGTTTCTTAAACAGTAGAAGTTTCCAAATGCCTCTACATTCCAAATGCCTCTACTTCATTAAAGTTGAAAACTTTGGCTTCAGGAAAATCAAGCAATGGACACTTTAACATACTGACCCTGGTGTGTGTTAATTAAGCAATAGACAAGTGTGAGCCACCTTGGAACATCCCAGGAACAATGTGTTAATGGATGTACATCAGTGTTGAAGAAATTACTTGAACTGGGAATATCACCGAGGAAAAGTAGTCCACTTCATGTCTTCACGCTGTGCCATCTGTAGCATCAAATTCAATTGGGCCTTCACCGCAGCAAGTTTTTCTTGATCCAAACTGCCATTTAAATCCCATTGTTCGTAGCAATCCACAGGAACAGGATAGATCACATATCTCAGCTCCATCAAGGGTGTTAAATGCTGCACAAGGTTCATGAGTACAGGCACAGTAATGGGATTGCAAGCAAAGCTAAAGATACGGAGATGTGAACAGTGACTCAGAGCTGGGAGGATAGAAGAGAGAACAGAATCAGTGATTTGGCAGTTGTTTATCTCCAGATACTGCAGGGTGCTTGAGACATTCTCCAGCAGATTTAGCAAGGGCTCATGAAATTCCCAGACTAACTGGTTGTTACTCAGCTTCAGTAGCTTTAAATGGATGGCCTGAGTGCTCTGGGATAGAGCAATGATATCTCTGTTAGAAAGGTCACAGAAAGTCAGACTCAGCGAATCCAACTGAGGTTGCAGGACTCTGTAGGAAAAAACATAGGAATATTATTACAGAAGAATAAGAGATTGAACCAGAGCAGTGAAGCCCGGTTTATAGCTACCTAAGACCGTAAGACAATTTGTTCATAATTTGCAATATTAATGTTATCAAAAAGAACTTTGACTCTAGACTTTACAGACTTATGACCTTGGGGCAATTATTTTACACCCTGAGACACACACCCTTTTTTGTTTGTTGCTTTTGACCCATACCCAGTAGTGCTCAGGGCTTCCTGCTTGCTCTGCATTCAGGGATCACTTCTAGCATGTTCTGGGTACCACATGGGGTACTGGAATTGAATCTGCTTCAGCCATGTGCAAGGCAAATGCCCTACCCATTGTAGTATCACTCCAAGCCCTGAGAGTCAGACTCTTAACCATCATAATGTATATGAATTTATTATTAATATGTATATAAGGAAGACAGAGTGACTAAAAATTGGATAGAGAACATAGTCATATATTCATATACTTGGTAAATATGGATTTGAGAAAGTATCCAGGTGAGAGTTCCCTTTCACTAGGCCCCAGGTAATGTCTTCATTCAGGATGAATGTCTTTGTACTTTGGGAAACTATAGGAGCAAAATCATCTGAATGTTAACATTGTGGCCAGAGCATGGAGATGTGCATCATAGCTACAGTATAATACATGTCTCCATCTGAATACCTCTGCTCTTTCTCCCCCTGCGCTCTCTATGTAAATTGCAATAGGACAAGAAAAATTTTCCAACAATATAGCTGCATATTTATCACAGTGTCTGTACATGTTTGATTGGCTCGCTGAACAAATGAATGAGCATAGTTTCCTATTCTATCCTTGTTATTCTCCTCGCTACAAGGTGCCTCTCTCTGATATGCAAATTTTAATCCCCAGCAATGCCTAAGATGAGGTAAAAGAAAAAATAGTCTTATGAATATTTAAGCATGGGTTCTTTCCTGCTCCCCCATTTACCTGAGTAGTTTGTGCAGTTGATTGGTGAGACAGAAGAAAGAGAAACTCAGCTCCTCGAGGTTGTCCAGTTTCTTAAGACAGGCAAGAAAAGCTGTGAAGTTTCTCCCCTTAGAAGATCTACGTTCAACATCAGTCAGGCTGAGGCTTTCCAGATGGATCAACTGAGATAAAAGGGTGTTGACATCCCTCAGGTGAGCGTTCTCCAACTCCAGGCGATCAGTGCAGACCAGATCCACAATCTGCAGGCTACTTCGATGCGCAGACAGGTTATCGATTTGCAAATTTCTGCAGCAGAGGTGCAATGACCCAGAGCTCCATTCAATCTTACGAGTAAGAAAAGAAATAAATTGCCTTGTTCTCAATACACAATTGAAGGTAAGGTCCACCAATAATTCCATGGGTTCCCTGGCTGATAGAGACCTAGAATCTGTTGTAACATTGTCATGGCACCTCGCATTAAGCTGTGCTTCTTGTACACTAATAATGGAGTGCTGAGAATAAACACAAGATAGAAAACATACAGGGATTTTGGTCCTGTATGAGCATGTTATTCCATATTCTGGGTCTTGTCTTAAATCAAGGATCCTTAATTTGGAGCCACTGTAATGGAAAAAATAGATGGAATATATGAGAGGCAGCATGATTTATTACAACAAAGCAAGACCAATGATGTAAATTTTCTACTGTTTCTGGTTTTAACTACATATGTCACTTACATGAGTTTTTTTCTGAACAAATTTAAGCATCTTTCAAGGTTTCCCCCATACTTTCTTTGCCTGTGATTCTCCCCAGACTCGATGCGCACACCACCCTTTCAGGCAATCGCATTCAGGAAGTAAACTCAGCCATGTATCTTCAACCAACTTTATTCTATAATCAGCATTGTTAAGACTTTCAGGTACTTAAGGTGACTCCAATTTGCTGGATCAATTGTCTCACAGTTATCCTAAATATGCATCCCTGGTTTCTATCTTGGTATTCTCTTGGCCCAGCATCCAGAATACCCTCCTGCTGTCTCTCAATTTCTCTACTGGATTTGTCTTACCCTGAAGAAGAGTTTTGGTCAGGAGGCAGTTGCAGACCATCTATCATGGCTTCGAAGATGTCATAGTTTGTCTCTTGTGGTTGCAGTGTCCCAATATGTAGACATCGAAAAGGCCAAACTCTCACCATTGCCTTTAGGATCTTCTTCTGTCTGCCCAAGAAGGCAGACTTGAACAGTGGAACGAAGAGATCTATTGGGAGTTCCTCCAGGGCTCTTATAGTTGCAGATTCATTACTGAGCAAACTCTTTATAGCAAGATTCAACAGTGTGTCTACAGCGTTTTGGGCCATCTTTTAAAATTTACTTCAGGGTGATTTATATTTAAAATTCCCGAGAAGACATTTACAAGCTGTCAAAATAGTTAGAAATTAATTATCCTGTAAAAAATATTTGATAAATCATATTGTCACCTCAGGAGACATTTACTAGCAGGACAGAATTAAAAGAGATGTATGTGTCTAAATATATGTATGCACACATAAGTATAAATACATACACATAGATGTATGTTTTGTGTAAGATTGTTATTTGATAACAGATGTATGTGAACAGAAGACAATATTGATGACCTATCTACCTATTTCCCAATATTTGTGACCCAAAGGATAAAGAAACTGAAAATTTACACTAAAATTTCACCCTTATCATCATTTTAAAGTGCATACTGCAGAAACTTGAAAATTATTGTGAGTAAAAGAGAACATCATGAAACCATAGCACACAATCCATCTCAACCGCATCACTATGGTTTTGTGGTGAGCAAGGACAAATCAAAGAAAGAAGCAAAAACAGAGGGGAAGAAGATAGTGAGGAGCATATAGTTGACATAAAACTACAGCTAGAACGACTAAGCACAGATTTAACCTGAAAACAACAAAAGACATGAAAAGTGAGCACAAGAGTTTCAGGAAAGGAAATAAAAAAGAATCATTTATTGAAGGTTAGGGTTGATGTAAAAGTCTAACATGAAAGAAATATACATTCTAGAGAACATGAAGGCAAAGAGAAGTGACAAATGTCCTGTGACATAGAGATAATAATGGGGAAAAGAAACACAAGGGAAAGGGGATAATTAATTTTGTACAAAAAACATTTAGGAACCACAAAATCAATGTATTCACAACTTCCCACTCCATCACCAAAAATATCAAGAAAGCTTAAGGACCTGGGTTTTCATGTAACAACAGAAAATGACATTATTAAACTAGGAATTCTTGAAAGTAATCAAAGCAAAGAGAGAGTAAAGTGAAAGTCATCTGCCACATAGGCAGGGAGAGGGGTAGGATGCGGGGTATACTGGGGTTCTTGGTGGTGGAACATGTGCACTGGTGAATGGATGGGTGTTTGATCATTGTATGACAGAGACTTAAACCTGAAAGCTTTGTAACTGTTCTCACGGTAATTCAATAAAAAAAAGAAAAAGAGAAAACCCAAAAAACTAGGAATTCTTTTTTTGGTGGGGGTTACACTCGGCAATGCTTAGGGGTTACTCCTGGTTCTACATTCAGAAATAACACCTGGAGTTGCTCGGAGGATCATATAGCATGCTTCGGGTTGAATTCAGTTCGGCCTTGTGCAAGGCAAGCACCTTACCAACTGTACTATCACTTCGACCCATAAACTAGGAATTATTGAAACAAGCCAATATCATAGAAATAAACAACAGATACTCCACATGTCTGTTGGATATAATTGGAAACATAATGATGAAATAAAGTTCCACGTGTGTTAAACAACCGTGAGACAGGAGTCTGTATGTCAACAATACATATTCACATTAAGGCATAATCCCCTGAGCAGCACCAAGAATGATTCCTGAGCACAGAGCTAGGAATAAACCTGAGTACTACCTGGTGTAACCACCAAAAAATAAATGAAACCATAAAACTCTATCTTGAAGCAGAATATTTTGACAAACATAAATTCTTAAGTAAATGTTCATGTTTATCAATCCATATTTGCTGTCCTAATATCATAGGCTGTAGAAAATAGGTTTCAAGAAAGAAATATAAGGATATTCTATGTACTATGTCCTTGCCAAAGTGTTAAAGGGAAGGGTTTTGGGGTTTTGGGAGTATGAGGGCAGGTATCTTGGGTGTGGTGTTGGAATTATGTGAATGAGATACAGTGATTTAACAGTGAATTAACGTCACTGTGAATGAACAGTGATGTAAATCACATAATCTCAATAAAAATGCAAACTGTGATCTACGAGGTCAAATCCATTCCAGTGCTTGGTTATATACTAAAGTTTTAATAGAACCAGACCATGGCAGATCATTAACCTACTCTCAGGGTATGCTTTTTACCTAGGCAAAGGTGAATGTTTGTGACTGAGAAATGTGCAGTATGTACTGTATGAAATTTTTCACAATATTTACCAAGCCATCCTTTAAAAGATAAGTTGGGATTTTCATTAGATGTGATGACAGGAAAAACTTTACTGCAGCCCTGATGGTGAGCATATTAAAATGCAATATTTCAAAGCTTACTTTGAAAATTTGTAAATAACACTTATATACAATTTTTCACCTACTATGTCAAAAATATTTAAAAGGAAGGGCAACCTGTTTTCTTGATAAAGCTGTGTGAAAACAGTCACTCTCATACGTTGATGCTAGGAATACAAACCAGTTACAACCTTTTGGGAAAGAATTTTAGAAACAGTAAACAAAACTACATGTGCACCTTAATTTATGCCAGCTACTTAGCTACTTGAATTGTGATTTCAGTAGATACAATAGATAAAAGTACAAAAGGTTTGTAACTGAAAATATAGAAAAGCATTTAAATGCTCAGACATTGTGGAGTGGTTGAATATGAGCGATACAGCCACACAACAGTGTGGGAAAAAAGGAATGTAAAACTCTACAGAAGTATAAGGAGGGATTTACTGCAGTTCTGTTAACGGGAAAAAGAAGAAAAGTGTAAGGACGTCCATATATAATTAATTTTTAGTTTTTTATTTACCAAACAAGGGAATAAAAGAAATCATATGTGTATCTGTTCATTTAAAAAACAAATGCAGGAGATTTTAAATCAGAAAGTAAAATCCCTGCTTATCTTCAGGAGGACTGTTGGAAAAGGGCATCGAAAGAAGTGAGGAATCAGAGAGAGATAAAAGCAGGATGGGGAGTGGAGGGGTGATGGGAAGGAACCTGCGGGCACTGGTGCTGGGAAATGTACACTGGTAGAGGGATGGGTGTTGGAATACTGTGACTGAAATCTAACCATGAACAGTTTTGAAAGGGTCTATTTCACAGTGATTCAATAAAAAAAAGCAATGGGGAGTGACACTTCTTAGAATTGAACTTTTAAAATCGTGGGTGGTGGTGGTTTTCCTCGACTCTTTGAATCAAATAGATATATTAAAGTTCCCAAAATTAATTTTGCTTCTTTTTATTATTTTTTCTTTTTTTTATTTATTCATTTTTGTTTACGTGTGTGTGTGTGTGTGTGTGTGTGTGTGTGTGTGTTTGGGAGTCAGTGAATATTCAGTGATGCTCAGGGGTTACTGATTGTTTTTTCAACTTATTACAGTTAAGGCTGCGTGCAAGGCAAATGCCCTACCGCTGTGCTATTGCCTTGCACGCAGCCAACATGGCCGACCCGAGTTCGATTCCTTCGCCCCTCTCGGAGAGCCCAGCAAGCTACCGAGAGTATCTCGTCCACACAGCAGAGCATGGCAAGCTCCCCGTGACGTATTCGATATGCCAGACACAGTAACAACAAAGTCTCCAATGGAGACGTTACTGGGCCCGCTCGAGCAAATCGATGATCAACGGGAGGGCCTTTACCTTACCTTTACCTTACAGTTAAGGCAATGTGTTTGCAGTAGAGCTAACGTTTATTTTCTTGGTGTACACAGTTAGTTACCTCCTCTCATCACCGCTAGAGGGCTCAAGACAACAAATTTTAATGAAAAATAAAATCAACTGACATGGGGTGCTAAGAAACTTTAATACAACCACAAACAATAAAATCAATCTGAATTAGAAATGAATACTGTAACCACACTGAAGCAGTGAAAAGAAAAGGGAATGTGAACATTTCAGGGTGCTAGTAAGGAAAGGAGAATACAAAAATGATTAGAGTCCTATGGGAAAGACACTGAAACAAACAAAAGGAGCTTTCAGAGAACAAAGCTATACAAGTCAACAAACAGATGGTGATATAATTTGATTACAATTCATAGAATTGAGTAATTTTTTATGAGCTGATAATGATATGAATAAAGCCGGTAAATTATTTTAAGCAAACAGAAAGTATATTTCATAAATAATTTTATAAATAACAAACATGTACAGAAAGGTGGATAAGAAGAAAAATCTCTTCAGGAGAATTCCAATGAATAAATGTAATGGCAGTGAGGAAAACACAAAATTACCACTAGGCAATAATTACTATACTCCTTGACATCTGGAGAAAACCAGGAGGTCTCAAATGGTCTAAGCACAAAACCCTCTCTCTATTGTCCTCCTATGAATATGATCCACTAGACAAAAAATCATTCTGATTAGAGGGCTGATGTACAGTGCTTGCTTATCCCTGAACAGCAGGATTCAGTTTCCTATTAATGAATATTATTACTGAAACAGTCAATTACTTGTAAGTATAGTGTCACTTCTTTTAACCTAAATACTGCTGCCCCAGACACAGCCACTGCTTGTTCAACTTCTTCCAGACTGCAGAGCTCTGAGGATCTACCTGAGGTGGCTATCCTTGACTGTGAGTAAATGTTACTAATAAATGGCTATGGAGTTCTTCTGTCCAGTGTTGAGTGTGATGTATTCAGACACCTGCAAATCTTTGGGGAGGAAATTCTTCCATGATCGTGTGTGTGTGGGGGGCAGGGTGGGGGTAGCAGTAAAACAGCTATTGCCAAAAATGTTTAACTTCAATCATAAGAACAACTTCAGATGAAACTCAATTGACACAAATTGAAATTTTTAATAGTCATTTTTTTCAAATACCTGATCAGTATCTTCAAATGTGGCAATCAGAGTTCTGAAGACGCTGAAATGTTGAGCAATTCTCAGTCTCCAGGAGACTATGGACAAATATGGGCCAGATTCAATTCAGTCTCCTGAATGAGGTCCTGAAATAGACAAGGCAAATAGTGATTTGTTTTTGTTTTTCGGTTCACAATCAGAGGTGCTCAGTGGTTACTCCTGGCTCTGCACTCAAGAATTATGCCGGACGGTGCTTGAGGACCATATGAGTTGCCAGGGATCGAACTTGGGTGGGCTGCATTCAAGGCAAGTGCCCTAAATGTTGCACTATTGTTTAG